GATACACTGTAATCCCGAACAGTATAACCTACTTATTAAAAATAAGTGAACTATACTCAAAACTGTGAAAAAGTTCATTCAACTTAAAACTTTTAAGTTTGTTCAACGATTTGGCCGTTTTAAGTTCCAGGAACTCAAATAAAATAAGTAAAACTTGATGTCATCGTAAATACCATAGCCTCACTTTTGCCTCTTGGTGGCGGTAATGAGCTTTATTGCGTTCCAATCTGCCAATTCAACAAAGAAGAGTCTCTAGTCTATTTTTTACAGTCTATGGTCTACACTCAAAAACATTTTAAAGCCTTTTTAAAAGATATACAAATTTCAATAGTAAAATTCCATCAATTTGAGTTTATTGATCCTTACATTTTAATTGAATTTATTAAAGATTGTTCAATTATTCAGTTAGAATATGTAAGGGTTATTCAATTCAATGGAATTTTACTATTAATTGAAATGCATAAATCTTAAAAATAAAATGTTTTAAGTATTCTCAATGCAATAGTGCATTGAGAATACTTTAAAACATACTAGGTAAAACTCTCCAAAACAGACTAGTCAACATGACTATGCTATGTCCGTTTATTTCATGTTTTACTCAAATGACTGTAAAAATAACAAAGGAGTAAAACCGAGTAAAACGAATTACCATAGCCATATTTTTGCCTCTTGGTGGCAGAAATGAGCTTTATTGAGTGCCAATCAATCTGCCTACGAAAAAGAAGAGTCTACTCGGCGCACTTTATTTATTTTTAAAAACATAACATACCAGGTAAAACTATCCAAAACACAACACACAACAAAGAGTCAACATATAAATGTCATGTCTGTTTATTTCATGGTTTACTCAAATGACTAAAAAATAACGAGAGTAATAATTCCCATTTGAAATCGAGCGCTCAGATTTGAACTTGGAAGCCCGCCATGTCATGCAGGAGTCGTTGCCTCAACGTGGTTCTGGAGAATCAGTTTCGTTCATCGTCGTCGTTTCTGTGTTTGCTGCGGTCTGTTTAGTGGCTATAATCTGGTAAGTACTTCTTAACTTAAAAAAAAAAAAAAAAGTTATTCAAGTAATCTGCATCAGAATGTGACAGAAAAGTCATCAAATTGAAACTATTTACTTGTTGGGTTTAGCTGATAGACCTAACGTTACTAAAATGATTAGGCCTAACGTTACGTTGCGATGTTATTTGTGGATTGATTTAACTAAATTTTAAACAATTAAGGGACTGAGTTGATTTATGTACGCAATCGCATCGCACGGATATTAATTTGTGGCACTGTTGGTTATCGCAGTTGCTTTTATTGAAGCTTTTCGGTTACAGAACCTAAATTGAAACAGGGAAAAAAAAGATTTAATCTTACTTGTTTTTTTTTAAACTGATGCTTAGAAGTAAATTAGCTGTAATCGAAGCCAAATTTTCTAAATTCTGAAATTGTTGTATTTGACATGTCTCTGCCTCACTATTAATTTGTGTTTTTATTTTCTATACAGGTTCAAACTTGTGAGACCAGAGCATAAGTGAGTAAAATTACAATTTGGAATTTGGGGGTGAAAATACATGACTAAAAGTATGCAGCATTTTAAAACTTCAACTGATTTTAGAGGTTGGCATAGCTCATAGTTTTCTCATGTCTTGTCATTTTAATGATTTGGATTTGAGTGATGGATTGGAAATGCAGGTTATGTGATTCCTCCTCACTTACTCGAGCACAGCTACTTCGGCATTATGGTTTGCAACATAGCCATTTTTCAAAGATTAGCCCTTTACCATGTCTCTATGACTCTTGCATTTGCACATTTGTTTCATTCAATGCACTAAAAATTCATGTATCACGATTTCATAATGAGAAGGATAAGCGGCATGTCTGTCAAGAAGTCCAGGTGGTGTACACATGTCCTTTATGTGGGTTCAAGCAGCCTTTTTCAGAGAAGAATCTTTTTGGGCATTTAAGAGGGCATTTGAGAAGTCATGAAATGGTAACATGTCCATATAAAAACTGTAGGTATACCACAAATGTTTACTCCTCATTTAATTCTCACAAAACCAGGGCCCATGGAGTAGATGTTAGTTCAGCTTGCTTGGACCTTTTTGAGGATGTAGTTGCTGCAGATGATGGCAGTTGTGCAGCTGCAGAGCCTCCATTTGAGGATCCTACTCAGTCTGAGGATGCAGACATGTTGGATATTGTTGACGATGTACAGTGTGACACAAGCCAATTAAAAGCGCAACTACAACGCAATTTAGCCTCTGTTTTTGAAGATGCAGGCTTTACTTCATGTGTCAGATATAGCTGCACAGGAAATAGTAGAACATTTGTGTCAGCTGTTTTCTTTGTCAAGGCCGCTGCTGAGAGAAGCAGTTAATGACGTATTACAGCGACATTGCTATACTGTGAGTGAAGCTGCTCTTGATGAAATTGTTAGTGTTGTTATAAACAGTAATGTTTTTGTCAGTGCAACCGCTAAAGGAGCAGAATTGTCCTCAAATAAGCGACGAAAAACCTATATTGAGAGAAATTACCCAATGGTAATGCCGTTTCAGTATGTTGTAGCACATGGGCGCACAGCTGTTTATGTCCCTATACTGCCTATGATTCAGTTGTTGTTTAAACATACTGATGTTCTTGACAGAATTAAAGAATCACATTCTTCACAAACTGATCAATACACAAGTCATCGAGATGGTTTGTATTTTCAAGAAAATAAGCTGTTATCAGAATCAGAGGAGTTTAAATTGCCGCTGCTGATTTACATCGATGATATAGAAGTTGCAAATCCATTAGGTACTTCGAGGAAAATACACAAACTCTGTGCGGTGTACTGGGTACTTGCTGATCTACCTAGTAAATACCGATCAGCTTTGCATGTCATTCAGCTAGCAGTGCTGTGTAAAGTTCCTGATGTCCAGAAATGTGGCTATGAGAGTGTGCTTGGCCCTTTAATGCAAGACATATGTACATTAGAACAAGATGGTGTGTTCATTGAGTCTCTTGGACAATCTGTTAAAGGCACTGTTCTTTTTGTTGCAGCAGATAATCTTGCAGCTCACGGATTGGCAGGCTTTGTACAGTCATTTCGTTCAGAGTATATGTGCAGATTCTGTCTGGCAACTCAAGACCAGTTTCAATCGCATGATGTGGCTGAGGGTGAATTCAGTCTGAGAACTAAGGTAACTCATGATCTGCATGTCCAGAATGTCTCCAGTAGAACTGGGGAAATTATTTGTGGTGTGAAAGAGGACTGTGTCTTAAAACAAAAGCTGCAGTATTTTCATCCAATCACTGGTTTCCCCCCTGATATTCTCCATGACCTCCTTGAAGGTATTGTGCCAGTAGAGTTGGCTTTATGCATTCAGAAAATGATTCGTCTGAAACACTTCACGCTTGATTATTTGAACAGGAAAATTGAATCGTTCTCATATCAGCATACAGATAAGGTTGATAAACCAAAGCCAATTTCCAAAACTTATACCACAAAAATGACAATAGGTGGTAATGGTCATGAAAATGCTGCATTACTTCGGCTACTTCCATTTATGGTTGGCAATGTTGTACCAGAGGGAGATAGTGCATGGGCAGTGTTAATGGAATTGAAAGACATTGTGGAGTTAGTGCTGTCTCCAACATTTACTGAAGAAATGATTCAGTATCTACAGAGTAAAATTAGGGACCACAGGCAAATTCTTCTTGAAGTATTTCCAGATTTTAAGCTTCGGCCAAAGCATCACTTCATCGAACATTACCCAGAGCTGATCAGATGTTTTGGACCTCTTGTACATTTATGGACCATGCGTTTTGAAGGCAAACACCGCTTCTTCAAACGGGTTGTGCATGATACACAGAACTTTAAAAATGTGCTGAAGACACTGGCAAGCAGACACCAACATATGATGGCTTACCATCTAAGTTCGCCAGCGTTCTTCAAACCACATTTGCAGGCATCAACTGTGACATCTGTTTTAGTTTCAACACTACCTGAAGTGGCAATACAGTATATTAAACAGAAGACTGATAGTAACACTATATACTGTGCATCTCGAATCACCATTGATGGGACAAATATTTCTACTGGGGAATATTTTCCTGCTGGTTATGAAGCAGGGTTACCTCAGTTTTGTAAAACTGAGTCAATCCTCCTTGTGAACGATCATGTGGCCTTCCTATGCAGGGAGCACAAGTCCCATTATATTGAACACCTAAGAGCTTTTAATCTGTGTTTAGGTGATATATCTGTTAAAACTATAACAGATTTGAGCGACACATCCCCCCTTTCTGCCTACAGCATAGAGGGCCAGTTGCTGTTGACGCCAAAGCGATTTCTGCCTTTACAATAAGGTAAAGATTTCTACATTATTTGGAAATCCATGTCCAGTCAATCTTGTTCGAAACTATATTTTTAACTTGTCTTTTACCTTGTTGTTTTGGTCTCATAGATGGCAGAATCACAAAAACTTTTACTGAGAGTTTACATTGCTCCTGACATCGCCCACAAGATTACCCTTTCTACACGACCAAGTACAGTAGAAGAGTTGATTACAGTGATCAAAGAGAAATTCAGACCTCTTCTTGATTTTGATTTCAGCCTCCAATATGAAGACCCAGATTTTGGGGGGCAACTCTGCTTTCTAACAGACATTTCAGAACTGCCAGAGAAGGCTGTATTGAAAGTACACCGATCTGAGACTGATGCTGGCTCAGCTGCAACTTCAGACACAGAAATTCTCACTTATGCCCCAGGACGCTTGCAGAGTTGGCCTGATGTGTTCCAAGTTCCTCAATTTTCATATGACGTCGAGCACACCCTAAATAGTGGAAATACGGCCTATCAAAACAATGGAAAGTTCTTAAAATTAACAAAAGGCCAAAAACATGACATTCTAGAAAATATGGCCAAGGCAATGCACAGCTTTAAGGCTTACCCCAGTGACAAAGAAGTAGCTAAAGCAGCTGAGGCTCTTATTTCTAAGCATCCCTGCCTCACAGAACCAGGAAGTCAATGTGGATGGTATGGCTGGAAGACAAGCTTAAAGTTTAAGATGGGCAACTATCGTACAAAACTCAGCAGATCTGGCTGTGAAGAGGTGGCTGTTAACTCGGGGAAGAGAAGCCAAAATAATCCAGAGAGTGAGTCTCCCCACTCCAACATCAAAAGAGCTCGTCGAGCTGAGGTAAACTACCTACCAAATTTTCCAAAAGGAGAGAGTGCTGAAAGCTTGGAACAACAAAGATTGCAAATAGTTGAGGAAGTGTCTAAGACCGAAAGAAGTCTTGGGCTGATAGAGAAACTCATGCAAAGTACATTTGCGCTGCGTCGCAAACAGATCGTTGTAGATAACCCATCACAACCAGTGAAGGAATTTTTGGAAAAGTGGCCTGCACTTCGTTTGGAATCTCAGGTAATTTTCTCAGTTGCTGTCTGTTAGATTCCATTTTTTGTGCATTTATGTGTGTCTGTTTCTTTTGTTTTCTTGTTTATTTTTAAATGTTATTTGTTTGAATGCTTGCTTTCAGATTGCTGCAGAATTCCACAGAATTACTAATATCAGCTTGAAAAACAAGTTCTATGCAGAACTGGACAACCATACTCCTCGACTGATTGCTGTTTACAGGCAGAAGGCTGCCCGTACTGGCAAAGCAGCAGAAGCACTGAGAAGCATCTTTAGTGCCTTTGATCTTGTGGTAAATGTTGTTAATTACATTTATAGTACAAGTTAATTGGTTAATGTGCACAAGTATTTTATCTGTTAATAGTTTAAACCTAGCTTTGAACTTTTTTCGCTTTAAATTTCTTCCCCTCTTTCATCTGTGCTTTTATCTCTATTTTTTTCTTTTTTCTTGCACCACTAAGACAGTTCTGTCTTTTTTCAGGATCACTACGATATTGACAATAGACGTACAGCTGCACTTCGAGCCCTCCCTGTCTACTTGCGCGAAGATGACTCTGTGTTTTTCAAGATGTGGAATGTAGGTTTTTATACATCTCGTTTGAATTTTAATGTTATTTATCTGATTATGCTCATGAAGTTCTCTCATGCTTTTCAGACTGAAGAGGTGGATGAGCCAGACATTGCAGATTCAGCTGTAGCTCTTGTCAGCATGGTGAATGGAGACTCGACTTCCACTGTTCAGTTTGACCCTGCTCGGATTGCTATTGTGCTGGAAGGTGACATTGTTCTAAGGGACATTTCCAGGTTGGCTGATGCTTTTCTTTTGATGTTTGGTTTGATATATGCATTACATCTCAACTACCCCAAAGAGCTGACACACACATTTAACTTCATCCAAAAAGTCTTACTGGGCTTGGATGACTCAAAGCCACTAACACCCAGATTGCTGAGTCTAAAAAATGAGCTACTAATTAAGGAGTAAGAGGAATGGATGTACGAGCTCTATACAATTTATTTTCTGTTCTTTTCAGTTGTTGTGAGTGACTACTGTAGTTGCCCTATTAAACACTGAGCTCAAGATTTATAATTTCCCAGTGAAGTGGAGAATTTCATTTTCATTTTAGTATTCATTGGGATTGCGTTACTGAAAGCCACTAGCACCCAGATTACTGTCTAAATTTTATTTTTACTGATTAAGAGATTTTCTGCATTTCTGGATGCACAAGAGACTGTTTATTGTTTTTTATTTCACTTGTTGTGACTAATATTATTACAGTCTATTGTAATACTTATCTCAAATTTCTACATTTTCCAGAACACAGATTGTGTTCACTTAGTATTTACTGGGATTGCGTTACTGAAAGCCACTAGCACCCAGATTACGGTCTAAATTTTATTTTTACTGATTAAGAGATTTTCTGCATTTCTGGATGCACAAGAGACTGTTTATTGTATTTTATTTCACTTGTTGTGACTAATATTATTACAGTCTATTGTAATACTTATCTCAAATTTCTACATTTTCCAGAACACAGATTGTGTTCACTTAGTATTTACTGGGATTGCGTTACTGAAAGCCACTAGCACCCAGATTACGGTCTAAATTTTATTTTTACTGATTAAGAGATTTTCTGCATTTCTGGATGCACAAGAGACTGTTTATTGTATTTTATTTCACTTGTTGTGACTAATATTGTTAGTCTATTGTAATACTTCTCAAATTTTGAACACAGATTTTGTGTTAACTTAGTATTTACTGGGATTGCGTTACTGAAAGACTGCCCAGATTGCTGTTTAACAATTTTTTTTTACTTGTTAAAGAGTTTTTCTTGCATCTCTGGATGCACTAGTTTTCTACACCTTATCTGTCCTTTTCATTTGACTAATATAGTGACATTCTAATGTATACAGAGGTCTGTTATAATGCTGGCATGAACAGTGTAAAAACTTCTGAAATGTTTTAATGCATTATTAAACATTTCTAAAATGTCTAGTTGTGAATTGTGACACTTTTGTTACATTTTCAGGTAATGGCAGTGACGCATGTTAATGCATCAGGTTTGAATTATTCCTTTTGCAAAATAAAACGTACTTTCATGTATGGAGTTTGAAATTGTCTTCCTTTCTAATGTTTAAGGAATAATATTTTGCTAATGTTCATTTTGAGGTCATATTTCTTGAAAATTAAGTATTATATTTATTTTTAAATGTATAACAAATTTAGTATTAATTTCTGATTAATAACAATAATTAATTAATTATTAATAATAACTAATTAATACATAGAAAAAGTTTATTAAAATAAATAATTTTGAGTTAATCTGCTCTATAGATTTAAGTGTAACTGACTTAAAACAATTAATTTTTATCAACTTAAAAGTTTTGAGGTAATTGCTCTATAGATTTAAGTGTAACTGACTCAAAACAATTAATTTATCAACTTAAAAGTTTTGAGGTAATTGCTCTATAGATTTAAGTGTAACTGACTTAAAACAATTAATTTTATCAACTTAAAAGTTTTGAGGTAATAAGTTTCCTCAAATATTTTGAGTTATCTTAACTTATCGGGGTTTACAGTGTATATATGTGTGTGTTTACTGACCTGATCTCTGTCTTCTGGTGTAGATCAGACTGATGCATTCACTTCTTTCTTCATCATTACAGCGGACACACACTCTCCTCCTCCAGTCTCAGTGTCTCTGATAGTGTTGATCTCTGCTGGATCTCTGATGATTGTTGCAGGATTTTGGATCTTCTGGATCTGCAGGAAATCTAGAAAAATGTACCAAGAAGAAGGCAAGTATATATTCTCATTTTAAACAAGTAACAATACAAATAATAATTTGATAATATGCTCTAAATATTTTAGCCAACAGCTTATCATTTAATTCAAATTATTCTCATAATGTTGTTGTTAACATCCTTTGAAACCAAACTAACGTGTAGTTTGGCAGTTTCTGTTGATCACACTCATATCAGAATTCATGTCTATTTCTTTATAATGACATAATGTCGCTCTACTCGTCTCACTTGCGCAAAAAAACAGACTCTGTATTTCTCAAACAGCATCAACACTGGAAATGCAAAAACAGAAATGTTTATTTTTAATTTAAAAAAAAAAGCTGTCTCCATTTTTTTACTGTAGTCGTACATGTGCAAAGATGCAGCTGGTGCTCAAATTAAAATATATATGAATGATGACTTTTGTTGTGCTTGTTGAGCCTAAAAGCTGAATAAATACAAATAATGTAAAAAAACTTTACTTTTGTCAAACATCCCATTTATGTGTCTATCTAAATTTCACGATAAATACTCTTTTTGTGTGTGGACAATGTTATGGGTCTAATGCAAATTAAATTTGTTAATGTCATTTTTAAAAACTGCGGTGTTTGTTAACTTAGTTAACATAAATGTTGTGAAGAACCAGATCTAGTTTGAATCTTGCTGTTTTAATGCATCTATTCTTGTTCAAACAGTTGAGACTCGTGAAGTAGAGAGCATTTACGCTGAGACGACATTATACAAAAGAAACGCTCTGAAAGAATTGGTAAGACGATTTATTGTTAATTTGTTGAGTATTTTTATAATTTCAACAGAGAGTCAGATGTAGATGTGTGTGCTTGTGTTTTTATCTGTGTAATATGAAATCCCATTTCCACCACATTAGACAGAAACAAATCATGCTCAGGTAAATCATAATTATGACAAAAAAAAAAAAGACATACTAAATCAAAATTATGAATAAAAAAAAAAAAAAATCTTATGTGGCGGAAATAGGCTTTTATAGTATAATGATCTCTCACAAACCTCACACTGTCACGACGCCACAAATATCTGTCTTTGGTCTGGTCTTCTGTCGCGTACGGTCGTTGATAACAAACAACATAGATGATATGATGATATGATTATCCATTAAAAGTCTTTAATGGATAATCCACAACATGAACCTCTATAGAAAGCAGTAACAACCGTTTACTGACGAGATCGGGAAAAAACTCAAATGAAACACGAAGACTTAAATACAAGGAACAAACAAAGGGAACTACTTTAGACACAGTTGAACAGAATGACTGATCAAATGTAGTACCCCAGAGTGCAGTCTGGACGATGGGGCGGGGCGACACTTTTAGGCGGGGCGACACGTGTCGCTCCGCCCACCCCCAATTTTATTGGTTTATAATACCGCAATCTTATTGGTGTAGACGATTCAGGTCTGAGCATGCGCATTCCTTTAAGTACGATTTTATGAATGATTTGGCCGTATTAAAGAACTATTAAATACTTTAATCGTATGGCTTTCTTATCGGTTTATCATGGTAATTTTAGTTAAGATCTATTGCTGTTTTATTGTACTTAAGACACAGAATTGATTAAGTTATTGTTTAAAAACGAACGCTTGGTGACACAGCACCTGTAGGCCTACTTCAGTGAGATGTTTTACATTATAGGGCGTCATTCACTTGGCTTCTTTATACTTCTATCATGATCGGTGGATCAGCACAAACTCGGGATTTTACGCAAAGGATGATAATTCACTATAAGAATGTAGCCTAATAGCAGCTGATTTTAATTTTTAAAGCACGACCGTTTTTGTTTCATTTTTTAACGAGATGTTGTCCAATGCATGCATTATTTAGGCTACAAAGTGCAAAATAAAATGTTTAATGGCAAACTCATGTTTCATTGTTGTTTAGGCCTACCTGTTAATAAAATGAGGGCCTGTATATGGTTCTGTAAAGCCCTATGTTATAGTTTTAAAAGATTCATGTTTTCTAATAAGTGTCAACTGGTTAACATGTAGGCTAGCTACAACTATCTGTGACTGCGACATTATAAAAATCCTATCATTTATTTATCCACCCCCGCATTACGTGTATGTTTTAATCTGCGTAGTATAGGCTACGGGATAAAAATGGTTTTAAATATTAACACTCACATATAGGCTAGCTGCATAACCATAAAAAAAAACACTGCTGTAAATCTGTGCAATTATAAGGCCTATAATAAAATAAATAAAATACCCAGCAGAGAAGTGATATGAACATGTAGGCATATTGCTTAAATACGCTCTTGAGCACATAAATAATAATATTTGCTATAGCCTAGATCGACATAATAAATCTGTTTTAGTAAATAAATATATATATTTTTTCACATTTCAGCAGTGCACGGTTTTTATTCCTTTTGTAGCCTACGCACAAATCCCAATGGCCAGGGCTTGTATGCTATTTGGTAGCCTATCATTTTCTTATTTGTCATCGTGGTTTTGCTTTAAAATAAAATAAAACACACTTTTGGATTTATACAATGTTTTACTGAAATACAGTTATCATCATTTGTGTAAAATCCCGAGTTTGTGTTTATTCACTGATCCTAATGGAAAAACGAAGAAGCATTTACGAATGATGTAAAATTCCGGAGCCCTGCATGAAATGCGGAAAAATATTGTCTAGCCTAAATCAGCCTATAGAAATTATCTCTCCTTCTATGCCAGTAATTTCATGCCGTCATGATCATTGCTCACTAAAAGTGGCACTGACTTTATCTCCAGGGTAAATTAATAAATACAATAGTATCTAGGCTAAATCTCAAACAGTGTATCATCAGCAACATAGGCTATTTCGTGATATCGCCTAGCCCTAAAACTGCTCAATATTATAGCCTATAAAGCTTACAATATTACTTTTTGTAAAGCTGCTTTGAAACGATGTGAATTGAGCGCTATACGAATACATTTTGACAGGAACTTCATCTAACTTGATTCGTAAATTCATCAAAACATTATCCAATTGATCGTTACTGAAATAGGAAATCGCCATGGTTATAACTTAATATTTCTGTAGTAGCTATGGCCAAACAGCGTCGTAGATCATCCATAAACTCCTACCATAGACTCGTACATAATGGAATGCGCATGCTCATGCCTTAAGCATCTACGCCAATAAGAGTGCTGTATTATAGGCCAATAAAATCAGGTGTGGGCGGAGCGACACGTGTCGCCCCGCCCAAAAGTGTCGCCCCGCCCCATCGTCCAGACTGCACTCTGGGGCTACTCGATCAAATGAGAAAACATGGTAACAAATGACGAACTCAGACAAGTGGAAAAAGGGCAATGACTGAAAACAAACTCTAAACCGAAAATAACTGT